TGACGATGTAATACCCTTTTATACAATAGCTATATACTATTTTCCTTTTACATCTTACTCTGCTGATTAGTTGTGGCCCACAAGGTATATTTTAAATGCTTAACACATACACATGGAGCACACACACATTTGCCATTCCGAATCTCTAGAATGGCATATATATTCTGCTATTTTTCTTAGTTAGCAGGCTTTATAAACAGAGAGATAGCCCTGATCCCTCGTTCAAAGAGTTATTAGGAACACTGCTAGGTAAGAGATAAATAACCATTCTCTGAACTTTTCTCTCAGATCCCTTTCTTATTTTGATTATCCATGAAATTTCAACTTTCTATCTTCCTAGTTCCCAGCTATGGCTCCCCAAGATGGCCTGCTATGGCCATGTTATTTAAAATTATAAAACACTCTGTTTCCCTCAAATCTTAATCGTTGTTTCCTTTTCCTATTATTTCCATAGCACTTATTACTAGCTAACATTTTATATACTTTACTCAATTATTATTTTTTCAGGTTTTTGACTGTCCCACCCCACTAGAATGTAAGCTCAGTGACAACAAGAATCTTTGTTTTGTTCACTGGATTTTTCCAGGTACTTAGAACAGTGACTGACATATAGCAGGACTATTTACACAGTGAATGAATGCATGCGTGAATACTGCAGCGGCAGTTGGCAGTTCTTGACTTTTCCTGTTGCTCAAAGTCCAGCCAATAGAAAACTTTACTACTTGGATTCTAGGAATACATTCTAGGATATATGCATATGGAGGGGGTCAGATAACATTAAATATGTAATAGATTATATAGAGTTGTAAGTGCCAAAGAGGAAACAAAGCAGAGGAGAAGGGGGATACAAAACATTGAGAGGAAAGAGGTTGACGTTTTGGAAAGAGGTAGGAAGTCAGGGAAAAGATGAATTAGAGTGAAGACATGAAGTAAATGAGAATACAAACCACATGGCGATATGGGTAACAATGTTCCAGGCCAAAGGAATGACCATTATAAAAATACCGAAGTAAGATCATGTCTGATGTCTTCAAGGAAAAGCAAATACAGTTGGATTGGATCATAGAGAAAAGGGGAGAGAGTAACAGAAAATAAGGTCAAAGCGGTAAGTGGAGGAGAGGTGGCCAGATCATAAAAGGCTTCAAAGATCTTAAAAATAGCCCTGGCCGGTTTGGCTCAGCGGTTAGAGCGTCGGCCTGCGGTCCGGAGAGACCCGGGTTCGGTTCCCGCTAAGGGCACGTACTTCGGTTGCAGTTTGTCCCTGGCCCTGGTCGGTCGTGTGGGTGGCAGCCACTCGATGTGTCCCTTCACGTCGATGTTTCTCTCTCTCTCTCCCTTCCTCTCTCTCCCTCCCACTCTATCTGTACAAAAAATGGAAAAATGTCCTCGGGTGAGGATAAAAAAAATAAAAATAAAAATAACTTCACTTTTTACCCTGAGTGAGGTGGAAAAGCACTGAAGTGGTTTGAAGAAGGAGTGACATGAGCTGACTTATGTTTACCAAGATCATTCTGGCTGCTATGTTGAGAACAGACGGCAGAGGAGCGAGAGCAGAAGGAGTGGCACCAGTTAGGAAGCTGCCATCATGATCTAGGCAAGAGGTAATGGTGACTTGGACCACAGGGGCAGTAGTCAGGGTGGTAAAAAGGACTTTATTCCAGAAATGTTTTGAATGTCAAGTCAGTAGAATTTGCCAGTGGATTGGGTGCAAGATGTAAAAGAAACATAGAAATACAAAATGGCATTGTGGTTCTTTTGGTTTGAGAAATTGGTATACTATAGTTAGCACTAGCCAAGATGAAGAATGAAACAGGTTGAGGGAGAAGGATTGGAACGTGATTGGGGACATGTAAGTTTGAGTTGCCTATGAGTCATGTCAAGCATGTAGTTGGACAATGAGTCTGGAGTTTAAGGGAGAAGTCCAGGCTGGAGATATAAAGCTGAGAATTGTTGCTTATTGATGGATTTTAATATCATATGATTGGATAGGATCACTTATGGAGTGAATGTAGAAAAAAAGGAAAAACAATTCAAGGACTGAACCTTGGGCATCATCAAATATTTGAAATGTAAGATGATAAAATGAAGCAGCCAAGTAGACTGAGATGGAAGGATCAACAGTATAGAAAGAATGCTGATGAATTCAAAGAAACTTTTCCAAGAAGGAGAGATGGCCAAATGTATCAAATGCTGGTAACTGGGCATGTAAGATGACCATTGAGAAATGACCTTTGGGGTCAGCACTATGGAATGTTGTGGGTTGAACTGTGTCTCATCAAAAAGATGTGTTGGAGTCCTAACCCCAGTACTTCAGATTGTGACCTTATTTGGAGATAGAGTCTTTATAGATGTCATCAAGTTAAAATGAGGTCAGTAGGGTGGGGACTAATCCAATATGACTGGTGTCCTTATAAAAAGGAGAGACAAGCACACAGGGACACCATGTGAAGACTGCCATTATGCTGCCTCAGGTCACAGAGAGATCAGAAGCTGGGAGAGAGGTCTGAATGGATTCTTCTGCAGTACCGTCAGAGGGAGCACAGCCCTGCTGGCACTTTGATTTGAAATTCTAGCCTCCAGAACCAAAAGAAAAAGAAAGTTCTGTTGCTTAAGCTACCTAGTGTGTGGTGCTTTGTCACTGCAGCCCCAGCAAACTAATTCATGGAGGTTCTTGATGATCATAAGACAAGAAATTACAATGGAATGATAGGACCTAATTTAAGTGGGACCCCAAGAAAATAAAAGGGGAAAACTGAACAGTGTATACAGTCAAGTCTTTAAGAAGTTTTATTATAAAGGAAAGGACAGAAATAGGGCAGAAGGTGGAGAAGCAAATGGCCTGAAAGAGGGTTTGTTTCTTTTTACTGGGAGAAATAATACTATGTCTGATGCTAATGAGAAGGATTCATTACAGAAGAAAAATTTGATCATACAGGAGAGAGGGGGAGAATCTCTGGAGCTATGTTCTTGATTAGGTGAAAGAGGATGGGATTCGATGCACAGATGGAGATACTATCTTTGGCTGGACAAGAGAGTAGATCATTTGTGAATGAGAGGAGAGAAAGTGGAGCATACAAACCCAGGTGCAGAGAGATGACGGTCTCTTCATATTCTTCAATTTCTCAATGAAATAGGAAGGAGATTTGCGAAGTGGGCAGGCAAGGAGAAAATGAAATGGCAATCTGGGAGTGTGGGAGAGAGAAGAAACTGGTCACAGCAAGTGAATCTTTTCATAGATGATTGAAACCAATTTGCTACTCTTTAATTTGAATTTCATCACCTCTATTTGTAACAAAGATTTGCCTATAATTTTTTGGGTGGTGTTTTTAAATTTTTTAATGTGTTTTTACTAATTTTTTTAGACAGGAAGGTAGAGGGAGAGAGAGATAGAAACATTGATGAGAGAGAAACATGGATTGGCTACCTCCTGCACACCCTATACTGGGGATCAAACCCACAACCCAAGTACGTGCCCTGACCAGGAATTGAACCTGAGACATTTTGGTAGATGGGAAGACGCTCAACCAGCTGAGCCACACCAGCCAGGATGGGTGGTGTTTTTATGTCAAGCTCTAGTGTCAATAAAAGGAGAAACAATAATAGTAACTACGATTACTGAGCAGCTATCACATACCACACACTGGTGATTTCTTCAAATTATCTCATTCAATCCTCACAACAAGGAAATGATATATTAGCCTTATTGTACAGATGAGAAAATTGAAGCTGGGACTAAGCGCACATAAAGTGATGTGATCAAAGTTGTATAGCTAGTAAGCAGAGTTGGGATTCAAAGCAAGGTCTATAACTCCAAAATCAATACTTTAAACCAGAAATGTACTCTAACTTTGTTTATAAAGCTTTTCATCTTACTCTAAGCTCTGGAACAGATTATATAAATGTGAGAATTATCTTTTTTTTTTTTTTTTAAATCACAAAACCTCACCAGGAAAAGGCCATCTGTTATAAAACTATTTCAGGTTGAAAAAAATAAAGAGATAATGGCTTGTTCTAAAAATCTATTTCCATTCACATGTGGCTGTTTCTACTTAAAACTATAAAGCCTTCACTTTCATAAACAGGAAAGCATGTGAGCCATCACTCTGTCCACCTCGTTCACCACCATGTTCGATCTGTCTCACCACTTCTCACTCCAAAAATACTGTAGAACTGCGCTGTTATTTCCAGCGCCAACGCCCTAGGCTAGGCTGCCATCACGTCAGTCTGGATAACTGCGGTGCCTTTCAAGTTCATCTCCACGTTCTTCTGTCACGTGTACTCATTTCGTACACAGCAGCCAGAGGGCTTTATTTCAAAATGTTCTGTCTGTTTACTGTTTACAACAGAATGCTGCCCAACATAGGATATAATTGCCAGATACTCAGCTGTATAAAGTCATGCACGGTGCTTATCTACAAATGGAAAATATAATTTTTGAAAAACAAACACTTAAACACTAAGTGGTTTTTAATGTGCTTATGCTGATCTTTCGCCTTTATAAGACTTCAATAAATGTGATTATTCTTCCATACCACTCCTCCCAACTCCAAAACTAACATTTAATATATGGACTCTTTAATTTTAGTTGTCCTATAATGGATTAGAACAGGCTCCATTTTCTAGTGCTTTCCTTGGCAAAGGGGATTGAGATTACATCATGAACATCTTAACATATTTGTCTTGTTTTACTAGTCTTTTCTGTCGAGGGCCTACCAGTGAGGGGCGTATATGTTAAATGCTCAATAAATGTCCGTTTAATAAAAACAACATTTGGTATTTTGTAGAAATAATTTAAAACTTTCTAAGCAATAAACTAGTGGCTTCAATAGGGTGCTTCCATATTAAATTATGTAATTATAGATTTTCTTAAAATGTGATTTTTTATTTTTTTCTCTAAGGTCTTGATTTTCTTTGTCATTCTTGACAACTGATGTGCAATACTTTCCACTCTTATGTATTTTCCCTTTTCATCTAAAGATGTTGATTTTCCCAAAGTTTACCTTGAAGCATGACCAAAGACTGTCGAAGTCGGCTGTTTTCTTTCCGCGTGTTCGTGAGTTTTTGTTTCAGGCTTTTTATCTTTGTACACAATTCCTCCTTTGACAGTTCTTCTAAAGGTTCTTCATCCTCACTGGAGCTCTCACCGGGCAGAAAGGCATTTCCCGAATAGGGGTCTCTCTAAAATACAAGGCAGGTACAAGAAAAGCAGCTTCAAAGTGATGTTAGTGGTTTATCCCACGTTCTGTATGCTGAAGGGACCTACAAATTCCTGTTCTCCCAGGAACTTCCTGTCCAAGAGAGGAGCTGGGCTCCAACTAGTGATCTAGCCTCAGCTTCATCTTCCACTGTCCAGGAGAACTCAGAAGCAAGGAAGAACATCCAAGTTTCATGCATGCATCTATCGAAAATCAGAAATCAGGATTCTGACTTTCCGTCTACCTCCAGGGGGAAATACAAAGCAGAAAAACAGTGTAACAGAACAGAATCGACAAGTCCACCATTCCAATCGGTGTAACTCATCCCCATCTTCTATTTCTCCCCTATTTCTCATTCACAGCCTCTCTGCTGCCCCGAGGACAACTTTGGGGTTTACTGCATCAGAAAAAGGAGAGAGACGATTCACCTAGAAAAAAAAGCGTTCATGTTTACTTTTAAGTTTTAAAATAGTTCTTAAGGTCAGTAGCAAGACAATAGTCTGAATACACATGCCCTTGAGTTGTAATACCCAGGCCGTGTTGAGACAGAAAAGAATTTTCTCAAATTACCAAGCCTATGTATGTATGTATGTGTATGTGTATGTATATATATTCCAAACCTGGAAGAATGGAGCATAGAGTGGAATTAATAGAGATCCAACTCTAGAAGCTTGGAGTATAAAGTTTTAAAATATGCTTTATAGTAGAAGAGAGAAAGTCATGGCATAAAGTTCCTGCTGCACAGGAAGGGAGAAGACATCCTGGTGCCAAGAGGGGGAGAATCCTCGGGGGATCAGGAATAAAAGTGGCAGAACATCAAATTCAATTGTCTTTGACCTTCCTGCTCCTGCCCCTTGGGGAGAAGGAGGAGGGATTCTAGGGGAAGGGGTATACGATAGAAACACCAGATAAATAAGGGGCAGTTCCAGAGCAGCAGGGCTGGCTCCTTGCTTCTCAGTCCATTATAAACTCCCCAAAGAGGCTCCACATCCAGCATAACATCAGGGCAACAAGGCACCTCTCTGGGCCATAGATTAGAAATGGCCCCAATTGGTGTCTGGACAAGACTGGAGACAGCATCCAGACTTCCTAGAGCTCATGCAGACCAGCTGGAGAATCCAAATGATCCCTGTGTTCTGGGGAGATAGGTAAGAGCTGGGGGAACTGGTGAAACAGAAATAGTTTGGTATGTGGACACAGAGGCCGCAGGATGCCAGAACCCTACAGAAGATGGCAGTGGGTGCCAGGATGGCACACTTCAGTAGCAGGTGCAACAGAAGCCCCAAAGGACCTGGAAGGCCTGGTTGCACCTGAACAGTAACACTGCTGGACACCTAGGAGCCAGGCAGGGAAGTTAGAACCTTGGAGGAAGACCAGCTCTCCCTCCCCAGATGCTGGGATGATATGTAAGACTTCTGAAGACGGATCATTTCCTGTGGTGGGGGTGGGGGCGACAAAAAGAAAGTGAGGGAGGGTAAGAATTTAGAATCCATAGAGGCTTAAATCCTGAAGTGACTGAAATTCTACTGATGGCTCAAAGGGACTTTTAAAAGCTAGAACATTCTGTCATTCACTATGAATGAATAAGTTTAAGCTTTTCTTTTTTTTTCTTTCTTATCAAGCAGGGATAGAGAATTAAAAGCCAGGTGAGATAAGTCATAAAAAATACAATTAATTTTTGTATGATTTTTAATGTATACAGTTAACCTTCACTCCTTATTTTATAAATATACAAATATATTTATCTGTGTTTATACTCATTATTACATATATTTGTGTAGGTGACATACATATATAATGGAAATAAAAATTATTATTATCATATGTGGGCAAGTAGCTAATGTACTCACTCTAGATATATGAATCCTAAAAAATAATGGATTTGATTAAACATAAATGATTAAAGAAAACCTTAAGGATATCTATTGGGTTCTTATTTTTTGTTGTTGGATTTCTTGGTCTATTTCTTTAGTCTATTTCTTAGAATAGTTTCCTATTCTGTTCTTACTGATTTGCAGAGGAAAAATATGGAGCTGTAAAAAAGAGAAAGTTCTTTATATACTAGTGGAAAGATTTTAAAAATATATTAAGTAAAATAGCAAAGTACCAAACAGTATGTTTGGTGAGTTACTTTTTGTGCAAAAAAGGGGAAAAGAATATCTATATTCATATTTGCTTTAGTTGAATGAAGAAACACCAAAAGGATGAACAAGAAAGTAATACATGTGGTTATCTGTAGTAAGGGTGGGAAGTGGGAACATCGTGGATGGGAGACAGGGAAGGGAGGGAGACTTTCCACTATTTACCTTTAAAATATATGTATACTTTACATAAATCCTTTTTATTTTTTTTTATTAATCAAAAAAGCCTCATTTTTAAATTTGGCTTTCTGATTCTGTGCTTGTGTCTGGAACACTTTCTTTTTTATTTCTTGGTATGTGCCCTTAGCGGGAACTGAACCCAGGACTCTCTGGTCCACAGGCCAACACTCCAACCGCTGAGCCAAACCAGCCAGGGCACTTTCACAATGACTTTCTGTGCTTCAATAAAAAAAGCACACTTGATTCTGTCACAGACACATTGTGCAACCTGGAACGACCATAGGCACTGCTGACAAGATTTTTAAAAAAATATTTTTTATTGATTGATTTTAGAGAGAGAGAAAGGGAGAGGGAGATAGAAACATCGATGAGAGAGAACATCGATTGGCTGCCTCCAGCATGCCCTCCACTGGGGATCAGAACCACAACCTGGGGATTGAACTGGTGATCTCTTGGTACATGGGTTGATACTCAACCACTGGCTCACACCAGCCAGGCTAGCTTTTTCATTTTAGACAACCTCATAAGAACTTTAGGTCTCACTGCACAGACTCCTTACAATTTGCCTGGGCACACTCCATATGTGGATTTTGGTGCTTCCCAACCTTGATGGTACACGGTAAATAATCCTATTACCAGGGCTTTAGGACAGCCTAATTTTGTTAGAGGTTGTGTGATAGGATATAGCCTAAGACAGCATGTCAAATGCTGGACCATTCTGAATATGCCTCTAGACACCATCCCGGAAAAGACTAAAAATATTTTAAACCATGAGAATGTATAGTATACATTTTAAAAATTAAATAAGCATGCATACACATAAAACACTACATATCTTATGGAGACATACACAAATACTTGTATATTAAAGGCAAACAAATAAAAAGATACAGAATAAATATAGTGATAGGTTGTTCAAGGTGTAGGTGGAGAATGGGAGTGAGGAATTCAGCTCAAAAAAGGAATCAATGAATAAATAAAAATAGGAAAGGCACCTTGACCAAACCAGTGATGATGATGGGCTACAAAATGTAGTGTATAAGGAAAAAAAAACCAAAACAGTAAATTAAAGAGGAGGTATTCCAATTTCTCTAGTGTTTTTGAAAGGAAAAAATATTTTCTGACAGTTTGCTGATCTTTATTTTTCAGAATACCAAAGAACATTTGAACAATGGCTTAATTGGCCATTCTTTTTTTTTTTTTTTTTTTTAAATCCTCATCCGAGGATGTGTTTCCATTGATATTTAGATAGAGTGGAGGGGAGGGAGAGAAATATAAACATTGATGGGAGAGACAGACACATCAATTAGTTGCCTCCACACAACCCTGAGTTGGGCTGTGGATTGAACCTGCAACCCAGGTATGTGCCCTTGACTGGGAATCAAACCTGAGACCCTTCAGTCCGTGGGCTGATGCTGTCACCGCTGAGCCAAACTGGCCAGGGCTATTGACCATTCTTAATTGGAATCAGGTAAAATGTCTTTTGAGTATGTTTCTAATTCAATTTGTTCAACATTAAAAAGAGAACATGCAATGTTATTCCTTGTTTGAATAAAAAAGTAAAGGGAAGAATAAGTTAATAGAACAGGGAAAGTACTAATAAATTATGAGAGGAATTATGGTGGAGCTAGATTAAAAAATTGTATCAAGGTCACAGAACACCAACCTGTCCTTTATCCATGTCACTGTTTGCGTTCTCTGAGTCCATGGTCTCCGTCCTTTTCCGCTTTCCTTTTCTAAGAGCTTGGGTATTGGTAACTTCATCTGTTTGCAAGATCGTCTGCATTTTATCAATTAGTTACCAAAGGTTTTCTGAACTTGTAAGAAGGAATGCCCATGTAGATGATGCTATTCCAGATGTAGCCCCAAAGTTAATGTTTTTCCTTAAAAACAAAAGTAAACAGAAGGATACTTAATGTATTTACAACTGCCTGTTTTATAATGGTACTAGCCTTTCCAGTTAACTACATTTACTAAATGTTTCCTATCATTCTTTTCCCCATGAACCAATTTAGTACACATTTTCATTTGAGTCAAAAGTCTTTCAATTCCATCATCACCATTTTCATGATGTCATGTTTCCCTGATGTGATATGCCGTGAGTTGTCACTTATAAAATAGTTGAAACATTTTTCATATTTACAAGTTTTTTCTTGTCAGTAACTTGTGAGGAGTCTAAAAAACAAAGTAGAAACATTATAAAATCATATGAACAATATTTCAGAGGACTGAAGTTATATATCTTTAGGAAAAAGACAATAATAGCAGATCTCATTAGGACCAAAATATTTCAAGGTAGATCAATATGAATTATTCAGAAGTTGTTTTTTCCCCCCTAAAAACTCTAGAGTTTTGAGATGGAAGGTTTTACTTGATATAAACTTAAGAACTATACCATAAAGAATGGGGAAAAACATCTCAAAGGCAACAATACATTTTATAAAAACTTTAAGGAATAATCATTTTTGCTAAAGCAGATGATAGTTCTTAGGTCAAAAGGGTTGAAATTATCTAATTTAACTTTTGCTACAGATGATGCAGCATATTTGGTCTTAGCATCCTTATTATTTGCATATATTGGTTGCTTTCATGAAAAGATATTTAATTATAAATACTGAAACTTTATCTACAGAAGGGACTGAGCTTAAGAAATATGTGGACTATTGAGCTCCTTCCAAGTTACACTAAGTAATCACATTAGGAAATACGGTTCTTTTACCTATTTTAAGAGAAATGCATTATTCTCTACCCCTAGCATAAAATAATATTTAAGATGGTTTTGACAGAACTGTTTACTGTGACTCGTTGAAAACTTACCTTAGGTTTTCAAATACATAAACAGTACTTGTGCTAACACACAGGACTGGACTGTCATACCTGAATCACAAATATGAGAGATCTCACCTAGGATCAAGCTTTATTACTAATGTCAGGCAGAGTAGGGAGAGGTCTAGGATAACCTACTGGCTGTAGGTCCTTCCTTCTCACACCACATTGGTACTCTGGTCTAAAGCAATAGGTGAGGCTTCTAAATGAGCTTTGGGGGTCATCTCACACAGTGGGGAGTGTTAAGTTGTGACACATCTCCACTTTGTACCTCAGAGTCTACTTACATGACCGTGTCTAGGAAGTTATAAATCCACAGATTCTAGGTACGTTTTCCATAAGCAATCCTAAATCAGGGATATACAATTAAGAGCATTCCATAGATGAACACTCCACTTTTAGTAAATATCATTAGTCTGTTTACCTAGAGCAAAGTCAGTAAACATTTTCTGTAAAGGGTCAGATAGTAAATATTTTAGGCTTTGTAGGCCAGAAGGAAAAATCAAGGATATTATGTAGGTACATATCAAGAAAGAACAAATTTTCTAATTTATAAAACTGAATATGTAGTAATAATAATTGAGTATAGGTTTTTGTAGCACAGGTCTGCGAATGGAAATGGTATTTTAAAAAAATAACATCTTGTTTAATTGGGGTTCAAAGTGTTTCCTACCATCAATATCAACTGCAAATGCTAATTTGTTAGTACTGATCTGTAATGAGATTTTTCTTTATTTCATCGTTCAAAAATGTCTTTTGCACTGCCGTATAATGATATTAATCATGAACTAATAATTTTCTTGTTAGGATAAAAGTCACATAACATAAAATTCACCATTTTAGCTATTTCAAGTGTATGTTCAGTGGCTTTTTAGTATATTCACAATGTCGTACAACCATCATCGGGGAAGTCCATACCACCCCATATAAGGTTATAATTTCAATTGAGCGTATTCATCTCTTAGTAGACTTTTATGGAATTCTGTTAAATTCTTTTGATATTTTCTATTTAGTGTGCCATTACATTGCAAAACTTCCAATTAAAAGTTCAATGGAACCTTCTCAACTGCAGAGTTAAATGTATGGTGTACCTCAGCGATATTGCGGGTTCAGTTCCAGACCACCACAACATAGAGAATGTGGCAGTAAAGTGAGTCATAACAAATGTTGGTTTCTCAGTGCATATAATAGTGATATTTACACTCTACTGTAATATATTGCATGTACAATAGCATTATATCTAAAAAACAATGAATATACATACTTTAGTTTAAAAAATACTTTATTGCTAAAACAAAAACACCATGCTAACCATCATCTGAGCCTTTGGCGATTCATCATCTTTTTGCTGGCAGGAGATCTGTCCTCAGTGTTGATGGCTGCTGACTGATCAGGGTGGTAGTTGCTAAAGGCTGGGGTGGCTGCGGAAATTTCTTGAAATAAGACACCAAGGAAGTTTGCCACATTGATTGACTCTCCCTTTCACAAACAATTTCTCTGTAGCATTTGTTTGATGGCATTTACCTACAGTAGAACTTCTTTCAAAACTGGGGTCAATCCTTTCAAACCCTACTGCTGCTTTATCAACTAAATTTACGTAATCTAAGTTTTTTTTGTTTTGATTTCAACAATCTTCACAGCATCTTCACCAGGAGTAGATTCTATCTTAAGATCCTACTTTCTTAGCTCATCCATAAGAAGTAAGTCCTCATCCATTAAAGTTTCGCCATGAGACTGCAGCAATTCAGACCCACCTTCAGGCTCCACTTCTAATTCTAGTTCTCTTACTATTTCCACCACATCTGCAGTTACTTCCTCCACTGCAGTCTTGGACATTTCAAAGTCTTGCCTATAGTTTTACCTCTTTCCATGAATCAAGAATGTTCCTAATGGCATTTGGAATGGGAAATCCTTTCCAGAAGGTTTTCAATTTACTTTGCTCAGATCCATCACAGGCAGTACTATCTATGACAGCTAAAACCTTACAAGATGTATTTTGTAAAATAAGATTTGATGGGGGGCTGGGTGAAAAAAGGTGAAGGGATTGAGAAGTACAGACTGGTAGTTACAAAATAGTCATGGGGATGTAAAGTACAGCATAGGGAATATATAGTCAATAATATCGTAATAACTATGTATGGTGCCAGGTGGTACTGGAAATATGAGGGGGATCACTTTGTAAAGTATGTGATTGTCTAACCACTAAGCTGTACACCTAAAACTAATACAAAATAATATTGAATGTAAACTATAATTTAAAAAAAAAGACTTGAAAGTCAAAATTACTCCCTGATCCATGGGCTGCACAATGGATGTTGTGTTAGCAGGCACGCAAACAACATTAATCTCATTGTGCACCTCCATCAGAGCTCTTGTGTGACCAGATGCATTGTCAATGACAGTAATATGTTGAAAGGACTCTTTTTTTTTTCTTTTTTCTGAGCAGTAGGTCTCAACAATGGGCTGAAAATAGTCAGTAAATCATGTTGTAAACAGATATGCTGTCATTCAAGCTTTGTTGTTCCACTGAGAGCGCACAAGCAGAGTCAAGTTAGCATCATTTTTTAGGGCTAGGATTTTTCAGATGGTCAGTGAGCAATGGCTTTCACTTAAAGTCACAGTTGCTGTCCAGCTGGTCTGGCTCAGTGGATTGAGTATCATCCCATGGACCGAGAGGTCCCGGTTTGATTCCCAGTCAGGGCACATGCTCAGGTTGCAGGTTCGATCCCCAGTAGGGGGCATGCAGGAGGCAGCTGATCGATGTATCTCTCACATCGATGTTTCTATCTCTCTGTCCCTTCCTCTCTCTCTAAAAAAATAAATAAAAACATACCTAAAAAAAAAAAAATAGTCACAGCTGCATTAGCCCTTAATAAGATGCAGCCTGTCCTTTGAAGCTTTGAAACCAGGCATTGACTTCTCCTAACTCTGAAAGTCCTAAATGGCATCTTCATTCAATATAAGACTGTTTCACCTACATTGAAAATATGTTGTGTTGTGTAGCTACCTTCATTAACTATCATCACTAGATCTTGTGGATAACTTGCTGCTTCCCTTTGCGCTTTTATGTTATGGAGATGGCTTCTTTCCTGAAACCTCATGCACCAACTTCTGCTAGCTTCAAACTTTTCTTCATCAGCTTCTCCACCTCTCCCAGGTTTCATAGAACTGAAGAGTTAGGGCTTTGCTCCGAATTAGGCTTTGGCTTAAGGGCATGCTGTGGCTGGTCTGATCTTCTATCCAAACACTAAATCTTCCTCCATATCAGCAATAAGGTTGCTTAACTTTCTTATGATTTCACTTGAGTAGCACTTGTAATTTCCCTCAAAAACTTTGCCTTTGCATTTACAACTTGGTTAACTATTTGGTTCAAGAGGCCCAGCTTTTAGGTATCTTGGCTTTTAATAAACCTTTCTCATTCAGCTTAATCATTTCTTGCTTTTGCTTTAATTTTTTTTTTTTTTTTATCCTCACCCGAGGACATTTTTCCATTTTTTGTTCAGATAGAGCGGGAGAGAGAGAGAGGAAGAGAGAGAGAGAAACATCGATGTGAAGGGACACATCGAGTGGCTGCCACCCACACGACCAACCAGGCCGGGGACAAACTGCAACCGAGGTACGTGCCCTTAGCGGGAACCGAACCGGGGTCTCTCCGGACCGCAGGCCGACGCTCCAACCGCTGAGCCAAACCGGCTAGGGCTTGCTTTTGCTTTAAAGTGAGAAACATGTGACTCCTCCTTTCACTTGAACACTTAGAGGTCATTGTAGGGTTACTAACAGGCCTAATTTCAATGTTGTTGTGTCTCAGGGAATAGGGCCAATTAGAGGGAAAGGGAGGGAAACTGCTGGTTGGGGGAGCAGTAAGAACATACACATTTATCAATTGAGTCTGCAGTTTTATACAGGTACAGTTCATAGTGCCCCCAAACAATTATGATAGTAGCATCAAAGATCACTGATCACAAATCACCATAACACAGATAATAATAATGGAAAATTTGCATTGTTGCAAGAATTACCAAAAAGTGACACAGAGACAGGAAATAAGCAAATGATG